TCGATTGCGCCAATTTCGCTACTCGAGGACTATTACTAATAGTCCTCTAGTAGCGTAGCCAATTAAAATACAAAAACCTTGTACCAGAATAATTTTTATTAAGTATATTTTATTTTGTATAAATAGTTGCCTAAAATAACGCTTAAAACAATTTCCCACGGGAACTCGAGAAAATGAGTTTCAAAATTCAGAGAAATTGTACAAACGCAGGTGAAATTTCATCCTCAGGTTCATTTCACCAGTAGTTTTAAGTGTTTCATATGAACTTCAAAATTTGTTTACGGCATTTGTTGTTGTTAGAAATGATTTCTTTTGAGAAGATATTTAAAACTGTGGCACAAAAGTTTGCAATGCAATGTAAATAACCTAGGTACAAAGTTTTTGCTCACTTTTCACTCGAACTTGTGGTGGGTTCCTTCTTTAGCTAATCCCACTTCCTCGCGCGGTTCATATTTTTTAATCACTAACAACTTTTGTAGTACCCCTCTAGAGGGAAGAAATAGTTGACTATGGCCATGCGAAGTTTCTTCGAACAACACTATAAAAATGCTCGTTGAATGGTCTGTAATAGTCACGCAACAATGTCACGACATCTTCATTCACGGCGGGGTGGGGTCGTCCTTTGGTGTCGGACAAGCATCCAGACACAGCGTTTTGCCCGTTCTTTTTAGAGGCGGGAGCCAAACACGGGAAGTCCTTAGTTTTGTTAAAGTAGAATAATTTCTCGTCGATAAACGGCTTCAAGGCTAAGAAGTTCTCTACTTCTTTGATTTCTTGGACGGGATCTCTGAAGAGTAGTTCTCCACTGACGAAGTGAAATTGTTCAAGAGGGAAATATTTCATCCAGTTGTTCAGATGACTGGTGTAGACACCAGTATTCACTATTTCACTATACGTCTTAACAACGTTGTGTTTCGAATCCGCGGTAACATATTCTTCAAAAGGTTTCATCTCACCGTGATATTTGTCAAACAGCTCGGCATAATCTGAAATCGCTCGTACCGTTGGATCCCGCACTACTACCAGCAGTTTAACCGACGGGGACATTTTATAAATTAGTCGAGGAGCGTCATCCGAGATGAAATAGGCTGGAGTCCTCTCAATTACAATGTCAGCCTCCAAAGATAACGGCATTTGACTGCTGTACCAGTCAAGTCCCAGTTTATGATTCTCCTGACGGTCAAAGAAGTGTACCTCTCTGGCGCAAGCCTTCACGCTGGGGTGGCGAGCTAAGATATCAAGGAGCACCCTTGTTCCTCCTTTCCTTACTCCGATGATGAGAGCCTTAGGGAGTCGGAACTGCCACCTCGCTTCGCCTTCGTCGATGCAGAGTATGCCCTCTGTTGCTGTGAGATTCTCCTCCTGCCGAAATGATGGAAAGGTGGCGAACAGCTGTACGTCTGGCTCAGGGGAGTTGGATGGCTCAGAAACATCGTCCTCTACGTTATTTGCACTAGCCGTTCCGGGTGTTTCATACAGTTGGCGGTTATAAAACAAGTAGCATAAAACAGCGGCACAAGAGAGACTTGCGACACAAAAATATCTCTGTCTGAAAGTTCGCATATGCATTGTCATTCGTAGGATGCTTCGTTAACAAGTGACCACCTAAAATCACTTTTTGTAACCGTCCCTCGGTTTTGCCTTCGACGTTGTAGTCACCCTGTGAAGAAACGCAAAGAAAAACCGATAAATCATTGCGGAAAGGCTCTCTGATAACCTCCGATACTATTATACTGCATTTCAGTTTTTCTGTTCGCCAACGCGTTATTCACAAATAGCCGCTGTTGTGTTTTAACAATTCAGAGATTATTTCTGGAAGGAAAATTAATCTCTTACTTTTAACGTAAATGTGTGCAGTTTCAATTTAAAAGTTTCTTTTAGGGTAGGGAGTCGCATCTGTTCACATTGAATTCTTTAAATTTGAAAGGGCCATTTCTTTGCAGTCGTTGAGCAAAAAATGCTTAAACTCTTAACAATATATATTATGATAACTTGTTAATGTGTTGTTATTAAATTTCTTTAAAGTGATTTTGAATTGAGTGTCTTAATTCCAAAACCAAAGTGATCGATGTGGCCAATCACAAAGGACACAGACAATCCAATGAACCAATCAAAACTCGCAGCAAATACATGAAGCTGACGCAAAGCGCGGGAAAACGTGATCGAGCGAATCACGATTGGTTTTGGTTTTACTTCTGATTGGTTAAGAATAAAAGTGGCGCGATTTTTTTTTACGCCAATCGCGTAGCGTGGCAATGCAAAACCAAAGCGTACTTTTGTATGGTTGGTCGTTTGTTTTCCTTTGACCAGCAGATAGATTCTGGTTTTTAAAGAAGCTGTTGAAGTAGATAAAGATATTGAAGCCGGTTTCGTTGTTCGATCCTTTAAGTTTCTAAATTTTGTTGTCATACCACAGTTGTTTCTCTAATGCGAGTGTCAAGGCCTTATACTGTTAAATGGTAATTTATGTGGTTCGTTTCCCCTTCAAATTGCCGTCGACTTTCCTCGTAGTAATTATATGAAAACAAGTGTAAAATTACGATTTTAATTTCCAATGTTTAGCCATGTGCGTGAAATAACACGTTGGTTTGTTTTGACGATTGATATTTGTATTCAACTCTGAAATCATCACAGCATTTTCACATGACTTTACCTCGGCCGTATTGACGAGTTCCAGCAATGAACTTTGTCTCCTTTGTAAAGTGAGTTCGTTTTTATGATCCAAACATCTCGTTTTGTTTGGCAACACAAAATGGCTGGTCAAACAGTGACAACACTCTATAAACATCACCAGCACATTGTTTTCCAAACCAGTTTTAACCAGTTTAAACAGTTTGTTCGTGTAGATGACACCAAAAGTCTCGTCATGTTTCTGAATTTCATATGTTGTGCAGTGTTTTATTGTTTTATTGTGAAGATTTTCCCAGTTGTATAGAGAATTTTTAAAAAAGGCTGTAAGGACAAAAGCTGTCTTCTCTTTCTTGGAGTCATTTCTTAAATTTATCATTCATCACCCATCTTCGTTGACATTATTTAATTTATGTTCAACGTCATCCTTATGTAAAGAATGTCCTCGAAGCCAACTGCATGGTTAAGACTGCGCAGTATTCGTTGAATATACTGACCGGTTTAGTCAATATCTAGTTCCACAAGGTTCGTCTTTGTAATGTGACGGTAGGTTTGATATATGGGCAAACTTTCACTAAATTGTGGCATCGAAAGCCGGTGTAAGAGCTATTGTTGAAATGTTCGCGAACCGGAAACTAAGTTAGAACTTTATAGTTAAGCTTCTTTCAACCAGCTGCAGTTGTATTATTCACCTGGTTTCCTTACACTTTTCAAGTGAGTTGTAACATGAAACCAAGCCATTAACAATTTGTTTTCGTCGTATTTTAAGATATACTCGTATGTTATTCACAACACTTAAGCTACATAGATGGAAGTTGCCGGTTACCAGCGCCACAAACAAGGTCCTTTTTAGTCCAATATTCCCTTCAGAATTAGCATAAGACGGCACTGTTTAAACCTGTCTCTGGCAACAGAATCTCACATTCAACATAGAATGTCAAGGAACTAGGAACAGCGATATGTATTCAGACCAGATTAACCAAATGCAAGGTATTCATAAATTCTATGTTTGTCTCGAAAATGAAAGGCAAACATTTTGTCAAATAAATCGCTTCTGTTGCTAATGTGTTGTATGTCATATTATTTATAAGCCGTCTTTTTCCTGCCCCATCTCTTAAATAAACGTTCGTAACAGCCTGATTCTAAACTCGTGCACGGAAATAAAATATAAAGCTATAAACGTCTATATAGACAACAAATTTAAATTAAAACTATCTAATACGAATTAGATTAAATTGCATTCAGCGCAGTATTAAAGTTAGGTCTCACCGTTAAAGTTCTGTGGCGTGCATCCGTTTCGTCGTGTCGTAAGAAGCTCAACCTTTAAGAAACTAGTTAACTGTCGTTCCTTGCTTGAATTTCAATAGTCTTTGTTTTCAAAGAGATATTCTTTGGACTGAAACAAAAGTGTTACCTGTCATAAAATAAGAATTCTAAACTCCATGGTTTTTTCATCGAATTTCAAAGTACTGAGTAATATTCGTGTTCCAACGTGAGAAATCTTTTGGTAATTTTTTGAAGCACACTCTTTCCTGGTTATACTGAAGTGTAAACTGATATCAAACACGCATCAAGTTATTAAATTGAAATGCAGACTATTTGCTTGAAAGTTGACACGCTACATTAACTTGAAAAATACGAAAACGCTTATTTGACAATCTCGTTGCCAAGCAATGCATCACAACTTGGAGAGCAGTGGCGAAGGCCTTGCCTGTCCCCGCACTCTATTGGCCGTTTGACATCTTTTTGTTGGCCTCGCATCGCTTGTCCAATCGACCACCATCAGAGTTCTATACATAGGAATATTGCCTTATGAACTATATATAGGTAGCTTTTCATGGTTGAGAAGTCCGGAAAACCGACAAAAAAATGTCAGCATTTGACACTGTGCGGGGTTTTGATCTTTCACTGGCTCAAACATTTGGAAAACCAATAGAAAAATGTAGCAAAGTTTTCAAAAATAATACTGGGTTATGGTTCGGCGTGAAAACTCATAAACTTTCCATGATTTTGTGTTCAAGTTGGTAGGTGTTCTTGTTAACTCATTAAACGCATCGCTTCAATGAAGCGTAGAATTACTATAGAAATGAAACTACTTGTGGGTCGATGTGTTAGAAATGCAATTATATCATCATTTGAAAGAGTTGGGGGAAGCTCGTAGAAAATTTAAATAAGACTTCGAAACAAGACCAATCTGCCTGAAGCTTTATTTGACTACTAAGAGATGCTGCTCTACAAACGTTTTTCATACATGTAACAACACGTCCTTTTTATCGATATAGTCTCTATGAACTGTTCGTTTTTGCGCAGTATAGCAGTTTGTACGCGAAACTTACTGAATTCTATGCTGTGCTGTATTCTAAAACAGCAATCTTTGATAATGGAGCTTTTTGAAAACGATGGCGTTGTGATAATCATTTAATTTCCCTGACTGAGTTTTCCTTAAATAAAAAATGACTGTAGATTGTTGCGTTTTTAAAGTCTTCCGGCGTAGTGTGGACGGAAAACATTTGATGCGTTTTCAGAGTGAAACCTTCGGGCCTGATGCAGTGGAATCCCAGCTTTTGAATACCCGATCATTCAAAACTCGCGATTCCTCCGTACCCTCCTCTCAGTCAAACACTTTAAAGTTTTCCCTCGATTTCTCGAAC